TAGTTGATGTTAGGAGAGGTCATTGTGATCCTAGTCTATCTGCACAAATCTAAAAGAGTTGCTACAAATTTGCAACCCTGGAAGGGTTGCTGGCAGCCCTGGTGTGCAATCGGAGGTGAGATTGACAGTGGACTGGTGTGCTATGACCATGTGACAGGTGCATCTATGAGGGTGTGTCACGTGTAAGAATCTCATATCAGTGAATTATAGGAAACCAATGGATTACTCAATTTCCTCTCACCTCTTAAACATAAACAACCTAAGTCCCAACAATTCAAATCCAACATCCCTCTTGCTACTCAATACCAAAGATAGATAAATGAGAGAGACAAAAACCTAACTAAAGTCAGACCCTAAGACTACTTTTATTGTATAATCTACCTAAAGATCTAGTCACTGAGATATGTTATGGTTTGAAAAATACTAACCATATGGAAAACAATCCAATTCATGACATATTGTTTTGCATTTATAAAATTGACATGCTGTATCACCAATTAAGAAAACTGGATTTGGGGAATGTTTAAATCAATTCAAGCACAACCATAGAATAATTTCAGTTGACTTGAAAATTATAAAACACCAAAACTAAAGAGATTATGAATACTAATAATGGATTTAACCAAGACAACTGTAAAGACTGAAGAAAGAAGCATAGCCAATATACCTCCAAAAGTTCAGAACCCCATGGAGGACTTGTTCCAAGAGTGTGTCTATCGTATTCAAGAAAAAAATCCCGTATGCGCTCATTAATTGGGTAAAAAGATGAGCAAAGCCTTAATTGCAATTTAAAAATAGTTTTTCCATCTTCCAAATAATCCAGCCTCTCCTACAATTAAAAGATATGGATTAATAAATAATCATCTGACACAGTAAAATGTAACCATCCATGTGATAATGAAGCTAGGCTAGTTTTATTTATAACAAACCATTGAAAAATTGGAATCTTAAACACAATGAAAAAGAATTAGTTACATAATAGGGTGTGAATATCATTTCATAATTTACAACGTAGAAAGGTTCAAACAAATTAATTTTTTCTTGTGACCAGAGGTTAACACATGTCAAAATAAAAATACCTCTTTATTTTCTTGAAGATACTGTGGAACCAGTTCTCTCATAATCGGTAGAGAAATTTCTGATCGCAACCTGAGTACAGAACGTAGTTCAACAGGGTGAAATCAATGAATGATGTAACGAGGAAAAAAATGAAATGATGCAGACAACAAAAGCATGAGAAAAAGTCATGTCTAAATTTCTAGAAAATATACTATTATGGCATTTAGTTGGCATCAAAGAAGGCTAGGACCTAATATAGACCAGAAAAATGCTATAATATCTGGTTTCTCAGTTTCTTTATGACAAAAAGCTGCTGGTATTTTATTTTTATTTCATTAAATTTTAGGGGATGGGGAATAAAAGCCATTATCTGGTACAGATAATTATTATTTTCATTACCAAATCTTAATTGCAACTGCTTTAGAAAAAAAAGGCTAAAGGATAAATAAAATTGTTCCCAATTCAACCCTTCTCTATACCTTACTCAAGTGTGACCTGTACCAAAATATTAAATTTCTTGAGGTATAAACCATAAACAATCATATATGAATTTTATGATTCAATAACTTCATACACTAAGCTTAGGTAATGAGTGTTCTTGATGTTAAATACCACCTCTGTTGTTTTTAGTAAGATTTTGTCAAACTTATCTGAATAAACTAGGTAGCATTTCACTGTAAGGTGAATGAAGACTCACATTGATATCATCCAAGTACCCACAACATAAACCAGGAAAGTAAGCTGACAATTGAAATTATAACATTAACTTAACAAACCACTAGAATACCGAATAGTTGATTATATTTCTGCCCCCTGTTTATTTCCAATACCATGAACTACCATACCAATCACTCCAGTAGCAGAACAAATAATGTAAGTTAATAAATCATCAAGGAAAGAAACAAAACAAAAGATGACAAACATAAAGGCAGTTGCATACTGTGCATGGGTGGAAAATGGAAGTGCTGCATATCCAATTACTACCTGCCAAGTAAAAGAACAGAACTTCTTAGGATTGCAATAAAAGATAGAATGAGAGGAGTGCGAAACAGGCCAAATCACTAACCAATGAGTACACAACCACTAAAACGAGGTTCAGATGATTTTTTATTATTTCAAATGGAAGGAAAAGAACAAAGGATCTCATTAAACTCACTGGTTTTGGAGCTTCTAATTTCATTGAAGATCAACATGGAAGAAAGTGAATATAAGGTGATGCAATGGTGTCCAAACAGCAGGGAGAGAAACTTTAATTTCATCATGCTGGCAGGCCACCCCAGCACCAACAGCAACTTGCATGTGAGCCCACTTCTGAAGTGATAAACCAGGTTCCCTTGGATACATTGCCTAGTCACATCAGTAACACAGAAAGAACAATAAGACGAGTTTAAAAATCATAGTGCAAAGTATCACTCAACAATTTTACCTCTAAAGGTTGTCTACGAACATCTGCATCATCCTTTCTTAGCTCAACTCTTACGAATAGATTCCTTTTCCAACTCAAGCTCACAGTTAAAGGATATACATATACAGAATGGAAAAGCTGCAAGAATGGTTCGTTTCTCAAAGTTGTCTGAAAGTCAAATGCCTGGAACTGCAGGTTAAAATTAAGAAACTAATTATGGGTAAACAAGTTCCACATGAATGAAAAAAAAAAAAAAAAAGTTGCATTGGTAAGAGGTATTCAAACTTCAAAGGAAGACAGAATAGCTCCAACACATATAACTCTTCATGAGAGGAGTTGCTTGGACAAGCAATATCCATATAAAGATCATTACACCACATGTAGCATGTGACTGGAAAGCAACTCCCACGATTAACCTCAGCTAAATTTTCCAGCAAGTCAAAAAATAATGACTAATTGAATAGAATTCAAGTACATCAACTTTACTTTAAAAAGCAATTCTCATCATTTAAATGCCCCTTGCCATATGGAATTGGGATCAAGAGGCACAGAAAGAATGCTTCTGCTCTTTCAAATGCATCAACTAAGGGATAACAGGAGATGATTTGAAAGATGATTAAGGGTTGCTTTTGGAGCACAGAAAATTAGCACCTGGATATTGCTTCCAACAGCTATACCAAAGATGGAAAGCCAATACTATTATGAAATCCAAAACAGAAAAACAGCGTAAGAAAGACTACCAAAAAATGCAACTGAAAGGGATCAGACAAGACGTTTTGTCTTTTTCAAGAAATAATTTGATCTAAACTACTAATGGAGAATAACACTGATTTAGAATTAGAAAACTCAAACAGCTTCCATGATGCATGTTGTAAACCTCTCACCTCAACTACTCATTCTCTGGTCTATGGACTTAATATATCTTACGGTGCTAAGGTTATAGCCAGCATTACAATGCTAGATAGATAAATTTGCTCCAGGCCAATTGAGGCATTTATCCATTCAAAATTGAATCAAGAAATAGGCAAACCATATTTACAGAACACAAGAAAAATTC